TTGAGGCCATCTTGGATGCCTCAAAGGCCGTCTGAAGCTGAAGGACTCCCAGACAGGTGAAGACGGAGAAAGGTCCAGATCACAACCGGTCGGGTGAGATCACAACAGGACGGGTCAGATCACAACCGTCCAGGACACGTGGGACGGGTGAGATCACAACCACTTTGGCCACTTTGGAGCCTCTGAGAGCTTCTCTGAGAGCCTCTCAGAGCCTCTGGGAGGTTCTGAGAGCCTCTGAGAGGCTCTGAGAGGTTCTGAGAGCTTCTGAGAGCTTCTGAGAGCCTCTGGGTGGTTCTGAGAGTCTCTGAGAGGTTCTGAGAGTCTCTGAGAGGTTCTGAGAGCCTCTGAGAGGTTCTGAGAACTTCTGAAGAGGTCCTGAGAGCCTTTGAGAAGTTCTGAGAGCTTCTGAGAGGTTCTGAGAGCCTCTGAGAGGTTCTGAGAGCTTTTGCGAGGTTCTGAGAGGTGTTGACAGCCTCTGAGAGCTTCTGAGAGCCTCATGCAAGATTCTGAGAGCCTCAGAGAGCCTCTGCGAGGTTCTTCGAGGTTCTGACAGCCTCTGAGAGCCTCTGAAAGCTTCTGGGAGATTCTGAGAGCCTCTGAGAGCCTTTGTTTGCAAGGTTCTGCGAAGTTCTGACAGCTTCTGAGAGCCTCTGGTGGGTTTTCAGATTTGTGCAAGTTGAAAGCTTCTGGGAGCTGAGAGCTTCTGAGAGCCTCTGAGAGGTTCTGAGAGCTTCTAAGAGGTTCCGAGAGCCTCTGCGAGGTTCTGAGAGGTTCTGAGAGCCTCTGGAATGTTCTGAGTGGTTCTGAGAGGTTCAGAGAGCCTCTCAGGGCCCCTGAGGGATTCTGAGAGGCTCTCTGGGAGGTTATGAGAGTCTCTGGGGGGTTGTGAGAGCTTCTGGGAGCTTCTGAGAGGTTCTAAAGGCCTCTGGGAGATTCCGAGAGTTTCTGAGTGATCCTGCGGCATTCGTTGTGGTTTTACTGTTGTTGGCACTATGGGTTGGTACTGTTACCACTGCTGCTGCTATTACGACCTAGTTTTTATATTAATAACATTACTACTTTGCCTACATATATTAATTGTATTATTACTCATACGATTGGTGATACCACTACTACTACTACTACTACTACTACTACTACTACTACTACTACTACTACTACTACTGCTACTGCTACTACTAGCACTACTCTTATTCCTACCACTACTACCACTACTACCACTACTACCACTATTACTACTACTACTACTACCACTACTACTACTACTTCTACTACTACTACTCCTACTACTACTACTACTGCTGCTACTACCAGCACTACTACTACGACTACTACTACTACTACTACTACTACTACTAGTACGACTACTACTACTGTTACTACTACCACTACCACTACCACTACTACTACTACTGCTACTGCCACCACTACTACTACTTCTACTACTACTACTACTACTACTACTACTACTACTACTACTACTTGTGTTGCTACCACTACTATTACGACTACGACGGCGACTACTACTACTACTAATGTTATTACTACTACTACTACTACTGCTACTACCACTACTACTACTACTACTACTACTGCTACTACTACTACTACTACTATTATTACTACCAGTACTACGCCTATTCCAACTACTCCTATCATTATTACTACTACTGCTAGTATTACTGCGACAACCACTACTACTAGTATTACAACCACTGCAACTTGTACTGCTACCCCCCCCCCCCCCCCACAAATATTACCACGAATGCTACGACTTGTAATGCTACTATTTTTTTTGCACAGCTACAGCAACTTCTGCGATTACTATTATTATATCTTTACTACTATTGCCGCTATTACTACTACTACTACTACTACTACTACTACTACTACTGCGGGCGCTACGTCAACAACTGCTACTTCTACCGCTACTACAAGTACCACCACCACTACTACTACTGATACTACTACTACTACTACCACTACTACTACTACTACTACTACTACTACTACTACTACTACTACTGCTACCAGTGAGACGACGAGTACTACGACTACTACTACTACTACCATTACTGCTACTATGACGACGACTACTACTACTACTACTACTACTACTACTACGACTGCTACCACTACTGCTACTACTACTACAGCTACTACGACTGCTTCTATTATTATTACTACCACTACTACCAGTACTGCTACTGCTATTGCTACTGCTACTACCACTACTACCACCACTACTAACACTACTATTACTTCTACGACCAGTACGACGAAGAATATCATTACGTCTACCAATACTACGACGGTGGCGACTAGTACTACCACTTCTTCTTCTACTTCTACTGCGGCTACTACTGCCACTACTACTGCTATTAATACTATTAGTACTACTACTATTACTATTCATACTACTACTACCACTGCGACTGCTACTGCTACTGCTGCTGCGACTACAATTACTGAGGCTACTGCGACTGCGAGTACTACCACTACTACTGCTAGTACTACGATTACTAATGCTAGTACTACGGATGCTACTACCACCAATTGCACCACTAATATTACGACTACTGTTCCTCTATTCTTCCACTGCTACTATTACAATCGTTTCCAGCTTTTTGTGTACCAATATTAGTACGAGTTCTCTAGTACGATTAATTCGGCTACTACTACTACTACTACTACTACTACTGCTTGTAGTACTACTACTACTACTACTACTAGTGCTGCCACTACTACTCGTACTACTACTACTACTACTACTACTACTACTACTACTACTACTACTACTACTACTACTACTACTACTACTACTACGACTACGACGACTACTATTACTACTACTACTACTACTACTACTACTACTACTACTACTACTACTACTACTACTACTACTCCCTTTATCGAATTCCAATCTGACCTTCTAGCTTCGGGAATCCCTAAAAAGTGGATTCCAATGGGGATTTCGCAGATTCGGCTTAGAATTCGGATTTTCCCCATATTTGGATTGCAATACGAATCCTTGACGTTTGGATTCCAACAGGAATCGCCATATTTTGATCCCAAGAGGTATTATGTATATGCGGATTCCAATCGGAAGTCCTTATATTCAGATCGCAATCGGAATTCCATACATTCAGATTCAACTCGGGATTCCTTATATTCGGATTCCAAATTCCAGTAGAAATTCTTGACAGTCGGATTGCAATATGAATTCCTTATATTTGGATTCCAACACGGAGTTCCCGACATGCTAATTTCAATCGGAATTCCTTGTATTCGGGCTTCAACAGAAAATCCTTCTATTCGGATCCCCATTGGAATTCTCCAGATGCGGATTCCAATGGCATTTTCCCATATTCGGGGTTCCAGTCGGAATTTCCGATGTTCTGACGACTACTGCTACGACTACGACTACGACTACGACTACTCCTACTACTACTTCTACTACCACTACTACTGCTGCGTTTACCACTACTACTACTACTACTACTACTACTACTACTACTACCACCTACTACTACTACTACTACTACTACTGCTACTACTACTACTACTACTACTACTACTACGGCTGCAACTACTACTACTGCTACTACTACTACTACTATTACTGCTGCTACTACTACGACTACTTCTTCTAGTATTACTACTACTACTGCGACTACTGCTACTACTACTACTACGACTACGACCATTATTATTATTACTGCTACTACTACTACTACCACTAATAATGCTACGATTCCTATTTCTATTGCTACTACGGCTACTACTACTACTACTACTGCTGCTGCTACTACTACTACTACTACTACAGTTACTACTACTACTACTACTACTACTACTACTACTACTACTACTACTAATACTACTACTACTACTACTACTACTACGACTACGACTACGACTACGACTACGACTTTGACTACTAGTACGACGACGACGACGACGACGACGACGACGACGACGACGACGACTACTACTACTACTACTACGACTACGACTACGACGAGTACTACTATTACGATCCAGTAAAAGACGCGCCCTATCCCATCCGCAACAGCTCACGCGTGAATCTGCTCCTGTAAGGTGTCCATTGCAATTTCAGGTTGCAATCAACAGGTATGATAACAGATCAATGCGTTTTCTTCATTGGCTTCCTCCTGGGTTTTGATCTGACCGTGCCTGGTGCTTTGGACGGTTGTGATCTGACCCGTCTGGTTGTGATCTCACGCGACCGATTGTGATCTGAACCCATCGCTGTGAAGACGCGAGCGTCTTTCAAGCACGTTTTGGAAAGCAGTGGTTTGGGTTTCTTCTGGCCTGACTTGGGGGTCCATGGCCCTTTGGGCTGTCTTGGGGGCCCTCTTGGGCTGTCTTTGGGGCCTCTTGGGTCTTGGGGCTGCCTTGGGGGTACCTTGGACCGTCCTGAGGGTGTTCTAGGCCATCTTGACAGCTCTGGCTGCTTGCCTTGGGACGTCCTGGAGGCTCGGGAGCGCGGACCGATAGTTTTTGACAAGGGATCTCGTCTTCTGGAGCGCGGATCAGTTGTTGCTTTTAGGAATCGTGGCCTCGGGAGCGCGGATCCATATATGATCTTGCCAGGGATCGTGACCTCGGGAGCGCGGACCATAGTTATTTACAATGGCTTCGGGAGCGCGGATGCATCGGTTCCACAAGGGAAAGGCGGGAGGTACAAGGGAAAACCGGGAGGCAACGCACGCAGATGGGCGTGTTGAGAGGCCCGTAGACGATTACGGACAGCCTACCAGTCAGCCCTTGGCATTCAACCACGGTCAGCAGCGAATCAGCCTGGGACTCTGGCCCAAAGTTTCTAAACAAATTGAGAAGAGCCCAGAGCTCGCAAGGCAGTCCAGAGTGGGCTTTCGGCGGAGGTGGGCTCGCATCGCTGCGCGCTCGGGCCGGGCCTCCTCAGAGACCCTTCTCCTCGCCCCCTTCCCCGGCCGCGCCCCTCCTCGCCCCGCCAG